TCAGCCTCCTGAGTAGCTGGAATTACAGGCATGTGCCACCATGCCCAGCTAATTTTTTGTATTTTTAGTAGAGACGGGGTTTCACCATGTTAACCAGGATGGTCTCGATCTCTTGACCTCGTGACCCACCCGCCTCAGCCTCCCAAAGTGCTGGGATTACAGGCTTGAGCCACCGCGCCCGGCCCACACTTTTTTTTTTTAAGCTTTTTTACATACTTATCCCTAAACAATACATTAATTTTATATGCTTTTGAAACTTTATATAAGTGGAAAGTTTATATAAGAATGTGTGCATGTATGTATTTTTTCCTTCTGCTACCTACATTTTTTTTTAAGCTCAACATTCTTGAGTTTCATTTATGTTTATAAGGACAGTATCCTATTGTACAGAAATAACTCAATTTATTCATTATCCTGTTCATGGCCATTTTGGTTATTATTTTGCTATTACACAGTGCCACCATGAATGTTTTTATTCATGTTTTTAAATGTAATGTGTAATTTCTCTAGGGTATATACCTAAGAGTGGAATTGCTGAGTTATAGGAAATGCACATCTTCAGCTTTACTAGGTAATGCCAATTCCAAAAGTGATTACAGATTTATAGTCTTGTCATTAGAGTGTAAGAATTCAAGTTACATTTTATTTTTGTCATTTATTCATCCAGAAATATTTATTGGCCACTATAGCAGTAAATAAGAAGATAAAATGTCCTGCTCTCAGGAAGTTTATATTTTAATAGAGCAAAATAGCCAAAATAAATAATATAGCAAAATGGTACTTGTTTTATGGGGAAAAAAATAAAGCAAGGATAGTGCTTGTTATCGCACTGCTCATAGAGCCATATGGGAGATTTGAGTTTAAGAGGATGAGATATAACCAAGAAGTCCTGTGTTTCAGGTGGTGACTGACATAAACAGAGATGCAAATATCAGATTGGTCCTGATGCTTACATTTGATCTTAGCCAAAAGTCCGAGAAGTGATGGTCCTGATGCTTTTAAGCAGATAATGGTAGTGAAGCCGTGAGTGTTGGGGTGGGTATAGGGTTAGGAATCTTGCCATTAGCATTTTCCCAGGCCCCTTTCTTTATTCCTACTCATCCATTAGCTCTAAGGCTAAAGAATGAGTGAGGAAGCTGTAATGGGTGGTATTATTCTGAGCATTTGGGGTTCTGGGGCCTCCTATTGGCTCTTGCCTGCAGGAGAGGAGGAAAGACTTGTCTGGAACATATGGAACAGTGGAGTTCTCTTGATACAGAATTACTTGGAATTCTAGTGCTTGTTTGATTACTGAAGTTGGAAAACTGAAGGTTGGGGAATGGATGGAATTTTTCTGAGCACTTCGACCTTTAGGGATTTCTCTTGACTCCTACCAAGGAGTCCTCTGGGAAGAGTGGTTTTTCCTACAGTATGTGGAACCCCCTTTGTCAGACTTCTTAGTTTTTGTAGTCTGGTGGATGTAAAATAGTATCTTGCTGATACTACAGTAGTATCTTGTTGTATTTATTTGATTTTGCTCTAAAAATCCAAAATTTGATCATTTAAATGTCAGACTTCTTATTTTTTATCTTCTGTGTTTATTGGGCTCTACCACTGTGGAAGTTTCATTTGTCATCTCTCTGTACCATGACTAGATGCCCAAGGTTTAATTCAGCAGCTGAATCTTTTACTCTGGTAGCTTTTGTCAATAGACCCTCAGGGAACTCTGTTATACCCTGTGCTAACGCTACCTTTTGTCCACTCTGCCTGAGGAACTGAATTAGGAGCCCTCAACCATATACTGCTACCTAACTTCAGAAAACACATCAGTATATCTATCTTGACTCTCTTTCACCTGCTCTGGGGCTCCCATCAAAATATGGGCCCCATGTTGTAGCACTGTCAGAGGCTCTTCATTTACCTTTTAAATTTACTATTTTAAAATCTGAGAATCACAGCTATTATTTCTGTAAGGAAAGAGTTCTGGCTTACCACAATAAGGCCATGATTCCTTCTGTTTTTCCGGCCAGATCTTTATATTTTAACCCATGCTTTCCCCAGTGTCTCTTATTACTCTCACAGGATCGAGCCTCAGAATTTACAAAAAGAACATGGGAGAAAGGCTTGGTATATAGTACTCTGACAATCTATGACACTCTCTAGGTGACCTTCTACATACATCCTACTGTCCCACCTTGTTTACATGCTACATTCAGTGTCATGAAGGAGTGCAAAGATGATGATAGTATCTGCAAATTCCAACTGATTTGCTATGCATTTTGCAAGAATAGCTTAGGACTATTGCTTAGGGCTATGCCTTACTTGCCTTCTCAGACTGACACTGTGCATAAACCAATAAAACTAGATGGTGGGCAATGAGACCTGCCCCTTTGATTTTTTTTTTTTTTTTTTCTGGGATTTCATTCAACTTCCTATGGTTAGCTTTTAAGACTATTATGTAAAAGTCGTGTAAGCTTTTTTTGTGGATGGATTGAAACCTATTAGGGAAAGCCTGTCATTGTTATTGTTATCCCATAAGTTATGGGAATGCCATACCTGGCACTGATTTTACAGAAGAGATGTACAGGAGATCTCAAAGTTTTACCAAGTTAGATGTGATTGTACAGACCTTATGCAAGGTACATATGGAGTAAAAAAGAAATACAGTCCTAAAAAATTAAGCTAGTCCTAGTATAAATGATCTAGAATTCTTTCTAGTACCAACAGATCAATTGGTTTGAACCCATGTTAAATAGTCATGGGAAAACCCATGAGACATTTCTTATCTGCCTGTAACTAACCTGAATAATTTCCAAATGCATGTTTCTAATAATAATGTGAGGAACTGCAAAACCCATATGAGTCGTCTGAAGTGTTGTCATTTACAGGTATGTGATGCATTCCAGGTTCTCCATCCAACTCAGCATCAGCTACTTCACGGCAACTGGGTCCTGATTAATGTTCTCCCAAGGCAGACTTCACTGGATCTTCGCTCAAGACGACTCTGCCAGGTTTTTCTGACCCCTCTACATTGCTATAAAGTGTCAAGGCCTTAAGACTTGGGTACGTGTATTACAACGGCAAGAGTGCCAGCACCAACAAAAGACCCATTGGACCTGTCAGCTCCTCTGTTTCACCAAGCAGACACAATAACCTTCCCAACAAAGCAGAGTAAGCCAAGTGCCTCTGTGTGACACCACCAGCAGCTGATAACGCATAAGAAAAATATAACTAATTTAAACTAGAGCCCTATCTCTTCTTGAGAAGCTGGGATTTGAAGGAGCTATCCTGAGATCTGTACTGCTAGTAAGTGACTGATAACATTATAAACTGGATCGGTCCCTGAGTTCAGAGACTGAGTTGCAATTGAGTGAAAAATAGACAACGAAATCTTGAAGAATTGCACTGAGGTGCAAACCAAGTTTATTTGGCTCTCCAAGTAATATTGGTTGAACTAAGAAATTGGTAAACCAAACCTGTATTAGGACTGGTTGTTTGGGTGTCTCTCCTTGTCATTGTTGCCTCTTGCTGTTACATTGCTGTCTGTGTTGTCTTACTAGGTCCAGATGTTTTCCGATAATTCGCATTGCCCTGATTGTGGACAACAGTGGTTCCCTAGTTTAGAACTAGGCCACTGGTTGTACCAAACTGAACTTGTTGAAAATGAATGTTACCAGGTATTCTTAGACCGTATTAACAGAGCTGATTATTGCCCTGAGTGTTATCCTGATAATCCTGCTAATAGAAGCCTTGTTCTTCCTTGGTCTTTCCCACTTGAGTGGGCTCCCCAAAATCTCACCAGATGGACCTTTGAGAAAGCTTGCCATCCATTTCTTCTGGGTCCTCCACTGGTTAGAAAAAGAATACATGACTCTCGAGTAGCTGGTTTTAACCCAGCATTACAGTTAATCTTGACCAGAACAGATAAAACCTTAAACAAAAAGCTGGGCCAAAACAAATAGCTTCTGTCATAGTCAAAATTGTCAAGTCTAGAGGCTTTTGTGTGGTTAGCCCAAAGAAGATGGAAAAATAATTCCTTTCTAAATCTGACCCAGATTGTTACTACTTTGGGGGAACTGCTTAAATTGTTGGATCTGCTTCTGTGGCCTACACATATTTTGCTCACCCTGAATTTAGTCAGTATTCCGGCCAGATTGTCCATCTAGACTGAGGCTAATCCATATTTCCTATTAACAATGATTTGGAACTTACCACTTCTAAAAAACTTTCTGCAGCTTAAATAGTGACATATGAAAGGTAGTCCTAGAGGGCAAGTCTCATACTATGTGCTCCATAATGGTATTTCTAATGATAACTTTTGTGGGAAAGCATCCTTGTTTTAGCTGGATCCTAGATTAGTCCAGTGAATTTTAATAAGAAGTTACACTGTTATAGACTCCACTTCTTATGCATTAGTCAGTGATGATATATATAGATAGATATATAGATAGATAAAATTTATCCATATATAGCCATCTCTTAATCATTGGCCCTCTTTGGCCCATCCTCAGTGTGGCTATGACATTATTGATTACTGGTCACTGTCAGATAAATCACATTCTATTAGGAAATACCTACGTAGGTTTTGCCGAAACATGCAGAAATGCCACCTGTCTAATACTTACTTGGCTTTACATAAACAAAAGACTGTTTTGTCTTTGTCGTGACTGAATTTACAACGTCCTCCCCTGGAAATGGAAAAGTACCTATCTAGGAGATGTATGACAAAAGAAATTATCAAGCCTGACCTCATATATATTGTGAACAGTCTAGGGGAAGCATCTTCTTAGAACTAAGAAGATCCTGCTGAACATTGGCCACATTCTGAACTCTATTGTTCATGAAAATCATAGACCCAGAGTTGGGGTTAAGCCACTTAGAAAAAGCTGTTGAAAGCATCTCAGAGTCCACTGAATAATTTTTAAATTACAGTTAACATGCCAGGTATCAAGGTATCTACTGCTTTTATATCACCTCAATAATATTATCAAGGTCCCAGCTTCTTTCTGTCCTTCCCGCTTGGGATCTTTTTCTTTTTTTTTGCTTTTGCTTTTTTAAAAGTAGTGACAAAGTCTTGCTGTATGGCCTAGGCTGGCTGGTCTCCAACTCCTAGGCTCAAGCCATCCTCCCACCTTGGCCTCCCAAGGTGCTGGGATTACAGGTGTGAGCCACCTCACCCAGCCTAGGACCCATGTTTGCTCTTTGTCCCTATGGTTTTTTTCTCAATACATATGGTATGACTTCTTGTTGTACCAGACTTTGTAATCCCTAGAAAAGGCTGGAAGTGGAGAGCAAACGACTTTCTTTCAAGTCTGTCTTTTATTTGGGAATCAAATCTTTTCCAAAAATCCCTAGCAGATTTTTTTCTACATCTCATTAGAAAGTACCAGTTTATAAGGGAGCCTGGGAAAGTTTGGCAAAGGGGAATAGGGTCAGCATTGCCTGGGTAGGGCACATTGCCTCCATTAATGAAATCAGGGCTCTTTTTATTTTTTTGAGACAGAGTCTTGCTCTTTTGCCCAGGATGGAGTGCAGCAGCGCAATCTCTGCTTATTGCAACCTCCGCCTCCCAGGTTCAAGCGATTCTTCTGCCTCAGCCTCCCAAGTAGCTGGGATTACAGGTACCCGCCACTGCACCTGGCTGGTTTTTGTGTTTTTAGTAGAGATGGGGCTTCATCATGTTGGCCGGGCTGGTCTCGAACTCCTGACCTCATGTGATCCACCTGCTGCAGCCTCCCACAGTGCTGGGATTACAGGCATGAGTCACTGTGCTTGGCCAGGTCTCTTTTAGCAAGGAAAAAGTGAGGAATGAATGGTTTTTGGTGTGCAGCAAATCATACTTGCCACATGTTGTGAAACCTAAACGTATTTGTTAGTCTGTATGAAGAATGTACCCCAGAGATCCACCCTGTATCTGCCTTATGTCTCTTACAATGGAGGTTCTCTCCTGTTATATTGCTGAATAAACTATGTGAACTGCTAAATTGAGTGAAGACCAGTTAGTTTATCGCTGTTTAATGAAGAACTTCACTATCCTATAACTCTTCCTAAAAAGTGAAAATTTACTTTGAGAGAATACTTTTGAGAATAATATTATGATTAGTAGTATTGGCCCTTAAATTTTTTCAGTTATTAGAAAATGCTTGTTACAAGGACATATACTAAGAAACAGTCTGCAAATGTGAAAATTTAAATATCAGCAAAATAGAGAAAAGGTCTTTGTTTCTGTTTTAACCAATCTCTCCGTTAACTAGTAAGATCAGATTAAAAGGATTTATACCATTGATTTCTCAAATCAATACCTAAGCAGAACTTGGGAGAGCTTGTTTAAAAATGTACATTTCCTGGGGGCTGCGGTGGCTCAGGCCAGTTGTCCTGGTGTTTGAGGAGGTGAGGCTATGCGTTCGAGGCCAGCCTGGGCAACAACAACTTCTCATTCATTTGAAAACTAAATGCAGATTTCTTGGTCTGTTTTAGAAATTTTGATTCTTCAGGTTGCTTGTAGAGCCCAGGAATCTGCATATTATAAATAACACCTCAGGCCGGGTACAGTGGCATGTACCTTTTATCACAGCTACTTGGGAGGTTGAGGCAGTAAGATTGTTTGAGCCCAGGAGTTCAAGACCAGCCTGGGCAAGATAGTGAGACCCCTGTCTCTTTCAAAAAAAAGAGAAGAAAGATAAATAGTACCTTGGGATATTCTGATGCAGGCGCTCTATGGACCACACTTTGAGAAATGCTATAGTAATATGTCCATAGTGTTTACTTATCTGGCTTACAAGGATGGGAGCAGAGTACTTATAATACTGCAAGATAGTACCATTTATTTGGTAATACTGGTAATGTAAAAAGAGGTTTCCTGTCAGACTGAAGATCACTGTTGATAATTTAGGTCATAACTTAGCCACATTTTTCTCATTATTTAAACTAATCAGGACTGTTTCAGTCCTCTTCACAAACAGTTTTGTTTGGTGTCATTATAAGCTATGTGAATATACAGGCAAGAAAAAGGAATCAAAAATGTTAATTTTAATATTAAGAAGGTTCCTTTGCCTTCAAACATTATCACATACCTGTTATATGGTAAGCTGTCAGAAATCAGCATCATGTAGTAGAGGTCATAAAACTGAGCAAAGAAAATTGAGGAGGGCTTTGAACACAGCTTTTCACTTTAGATCTTTCTAGTATGGCTTCAAATATTGCAGATTATTCTAGAATACTCCATAGTTGATGTGAATAATGAATTTTATTAAAATATAAATGCTGTGTTGGTAAAATTAATTCTAATGACAAATGATCTGGAGGGTTACTCAGTGTTTTAAAGAGTGTGAGCCATACTAGTCTCTCTTTTTATAGTGTGGAAGAATGGGTAATACTGCTTATATGTTATGGCAGCATTTCTAAAATGACCATTATAACTACTTCCTGTTATTTTACAGCAAACCTGGGAGTGGAAGGGTTAATGGAAACATGCAAGGGCAGACCGGAAAGCCACCAAAGAGGTGGCTTTTGGGGGATGTGAGTGGTGAGGTAAGATTCATCTCTGAGTTACAGGTGAAGGAAGTCCAGGCAAACAGGAAGGCAGAAATGAGTCCATGGCATCCAAAGAATATGTGGCAGTCCACATTCATAGCTGTCTGTAAAAGTGAGATGAACCATAGCCCTTTCATCTCTCCTGTCTCCCTGGCAACCCTGAGTCTCCATGGAATTTTGGGGACACAGCTTGAAAATTGCTTTTTATAGAGGCAAAATAATGGCCTTGCAGCCAGCTGGGTTTGTATTCTAATTCTGACATTATTAAATGACCTTGAGCATTTTAACCTCTCTGTATCTAGTTTCTTCATCTGTGACAAAGGTTGTGTAATAATACCTACCTCATCCTGTTGTGAGGTTTAAATGCAATAACATATACCAAACATATGGCACATACTAAATCTTTAGGATGAGGAAAGATATAAGGCAAGAAAGCAAAAGCAGAAGTTACAACTGGGGAATAATGTGGAGTCTTACTTACTGTTTTGTTGTTTTGAGACAGGGTCTTGTTCTGTCACCCAGACTGGAGTGCAGTGGCACCATCATGACTCACAGGAGTCTTGACCTCCTGGGCTCAAGTGATCCTTCCACTTCAGCCCCCTAAGTAGCTGTGACTATAGGCTTGCACCACCACACCCAGCTAATTTTTGTATACAAAAATTTTACACAAAGAAGGAGTATTGCCATGTTGCCCAGACTCGTCTTGAGCTCCTGAGCTCAAGTGTCCTGCTCACCTCGGCTGGAGCCACCATGCCTGCTGAGTCTTAGTTTTAGAACAGGGATGAAAGCCAATTGTTTGAACTGATGCTGAATTATAAACTTATTGGCTGGTAGCTCACACCTGTAATCCCAGCACTTTGGGAGGCTGAGGCAGGAGGATGGCTTGAGCCTAGGAGTTCAAAACAAGCCTAAGCAACATAGTGAGACCCCAACTCTACAAAAAATTTTTAAGAAGAAATAATTAGCTGGATGCAGTGGCATGTGCCTGTAGTGTCTGCTGCTCAGGAGGCTGAGGTAGGAGGATCCCTTGAGCCTCAGTGAGCTATGAGCTTGAGGCTGTAGTGAGCCATGATGGTACTACTGCCCGCTAGCCTGGGCAGCAGTGAGGGCCTGTCTCTAAAAACGAAAACAAAAAACTTCTTAAATCTCTCCTGATGAAGGACAAGATTGGTTTTGGGACTGAGGTTGAGCCTGTAGTGTAAGTCAAATGGTCTTTGTTGTAAAGATTAAAAGGCCCGGCCGGATGAGGTGGCTCACGCCTGTAATCCCAGCACTGTGGGAGGCTGAAGCGGGTGGATCACGAAGTCAAGAGATAGAGACCATCCTGGTCAACACAATGAAACCCTGTCTCTACTAAAAATACAAAAATTAGCTGGGCATGGTGGCGCACACCTGTAGTCTCAGCTACTCGGGAGGCTGAGGCAGGAGAATTGCTTGAACCCAAGAAGCAGAGGATGCAGTGAGCCGAGATCGCACCACTGCACTCCAGCCTGGGTAACAAGAGCAAAACTCTGTCTAAAAAAAAAAAAAAAAAAAAAAAAAGAGTAAACTGCTAGCAGGTAGACAAACATGTAACAGTCCAGTGCATAAAAAACATTATAATGACAGCAACAAACCAAAACTAAACCAAGAAAGGACAAATCGGACTCACATTTCTCCAGTGCTAGATTTCTAGTAGACAACACTCTTCCTGTTCCTTCCCTAGATAAAAATGCAGCCCAAAGTTCTGACCACAGATTTCTTCAAGAAAGACCTGTGGATTCTGCAAGAGTAAGAGCCTAGAAAGAGAGAATGAGGAAATGAACACTGATGTCCAGAGAGAAAACAGGAGAGATGGAGACGGTCTGGCTTCACTCTCTCTCCTGGTAGGACTGGCACAAAAGCGGGTCAGAGGCAAAATTTCCTAACAATGCCTCCTCTGGGAAATGTTACTCCTACTCACTTCAAGCACTGCAGAGTCAACATACTCTTTTCTGTGGCTTCAATTCTGCAAGGTTCAAGTCTGACAAAAAATCATGTATACTTAGGCCGGGAGTGGTGGCTCACGCCTGTAATCCCAGCACTCTGGGAGGCCGAGGCGGGCGGATCACCTGAGGTTGGGAGTTCAAGACCAGCCTGACCAACATGGTGAAACCCCGTCTTTTAAAAAGAAAAAAAAGAAAATCATGTATACCTGATTAGCAGGGTACAAAAGCAAGACAGAGAGAGAGAGGGGGACAGAGAATCTCTTGGGAGAACTAAATGCATAGACAAAGAAGCAGACTTGGGCTGGCGTGGTGGCTCACGCCTGAAATCCCAGCACTTTGGGAGGCCAAGGTGGGTGGATCACTTGAGGTCAGGAGTTCGAGACCAGCCTGGCCAACATGGTAAAAGCCCATTTCCACTAAAAATACAAAAATTAGCCAGATGGTAGTGGTGCGTGCCTGTAATCTCAGCTATTTGGGAGGATGAGGCAGGAGAATCACTTGAACCCAGGGGGCAGAGGTTGCAGTGAGCCGAGATCATGCCATTGCACTCCAGCCTGGGCAACAGAGGGAGACTCTGACTCAAAAANAAAAAAAAAAAAAAAAAAAAAAAAAAGGCCTGGAGGGATGGATAACCCAAGCCAGATTTTTGTCACAATTTCTAGGCCCATTTTGTAATCTTAATTATGGTAGATATAATTCCTGTATTTACCTTAGATCACCTGAGGCTTTCCACAGCAGATAAACAGATTCCTGATGTGACAGGTCCCTGAAAAGGAAAAAGAAAAGAAATAGAGAAAAATTGAAAGATATGTACAAATTCGCTCAGGTCATATGTGCTAGAGTCACAATTCAAATCTAGATTTAAGTATTCCAGAGTAAGGGTGCTTTGTGGTATGCTTCATGCAAGCTTATTAAAGGGTCATGATTAGGTCCTACGTCCAAACTACCCGAGTTCAAAACCTGACTGCCCTCAGTAGTCACATGTTCTTGGGTAAGCTTCTTAACCTTTCTGTATCTCAGTTTCCTCATCTCTAAAATAGTAGGAATATTAATAGTTTGCACCTCATAAGATTGTTGTGAAGATTAAATGAGTTAATAAAGTGCTTTGAATGATGCCTGGCACAAAGATGGCACTCAATAAATAGTAGTTCTTAGAGCTGTTGTGTGTGCTTTATATGTTATTCTTTTTCGCAGCAGGACTGTAACTTGTTTCAGGGCCAAGATATCAGTTTCTTTTTATCCCTAGAGCCTAAAAATGGCATCATTCACTAAAATAAAATTGTGTTTAAAAGTAAAGATATATACTTAATTCTACCCCAACTGTCATACATTTGTCATGATGGCATTTATGTCTAAACCGCCATGCTGGAATGGCTGATTTCTTTTTTGCTCTTCTTGGCTGCTAAACTTCTCATTTTCTTCTCCATTTAAAAAATGGTCTTAGTGCTTCCTGACACCTATCCCCCTCGCCCTTCCCCAGGTTTTTCC